AATAATAATAATGATAGCACTAGCAACCCGCACTCTAAGAGGTAGAGAGTTTTATACCTCATTAGAATTTAAACCCAGGTCTAACCAGAAATCTGTTATTCTTATTGTGAGGCCATAATCCTTTATCAGACAAAACTGGGGCCAGAGTGTGGAACACAGAATTTTTTGCATTTTAAAAAGGTAATACAGTATGTATATTGTATATTATGTAAAATCTTCAGTGAGGTCTGGCTCAGTGGCATATGATCAAATATATTAACACATCTACAGCAAAACCCATACATATTCACACCAGTGTTCTGGGATAAACAGACTAGGAAGAGCCTCTTTTCACCACACGTTTGAGTCCTAATGAATCAGGCCGGCCAAGGTTCGCCATCAGCGAGCAATAAACAAATTTTCAGGGCTTTTTTGATTTTAAAATTGCAGATAAGAGATGACACAGCTACACTATAAATATACATATTATATGTAGCTATATACAGTAAATATATACTAAATATAGCTATACTATAATGTAAATATCACTGATCACTATTATGATGGATAATTTTTCAAATTGTATAACCTGCATCTCCAGTGGGAGAATGGGATTTTGCTAATTAAGAACAACTCTGCAATCATAAATTCAAAGAAAAATTCCTTTTCCAACTTTTCCTCCCTTATAGGTTGAAAGGCCCCACTAGCACCAGCAAACATTTTCAGATTCTGACAGCTGAGGCTTAATAATAAACGATCATAAGCCTAAAATAAGAGAAACAACTGGGTGAGCTAAAGGGAGTGGCCATGTCTTTAAGAATGTAATTGCATTTGCAACATAATATGCTGCCTAATTGCATATCCAAGTTTACATGCATTTGTGTGAGTAATTATGAGTCATTTAAAGGTACTCTACTTGTTGTGTTTTGTTCCTAAAAATCAGATTAGCAAAGGAGCAATTTAATTTCAACATTTTAAAAGATTTATTTTTAAAAAATTATCTGCCATGATTCAAAGGCTAGGGTAGACAGCACACCCCAAGCAAACATTTAAATGCAAAATTAAAACAAATATTCAGAACTATAGAGAGCTTTCTGTTAATAATGGCACCCCATCCTCTCTTAAGCCTTGTAGATTAGATTCCTCCCCCAGAATCCTTGGGACCAGCACTTCAAGGCTCCAAGCATGTGGGAAGCCAGGAGGAAGCACAAGCCTGAAGAAACAGGGGATGGTGAAGTTGATAAATGCCTAAATTCCCACTACCCCTAAGGAGACCAGAGGATAATTCTCTGGAGAAGGGGGACCAAAGCCGTTCCACAGGGTGAGAACGGGGGAGGGGGATCACGAGACACAAGTGACTTGAGCTGTGGGGCTGAAACCAGGACAATTAAATGGCAGTCTACATAGCTAACTGTGGGAACCTCAGCTCCTTTTCCTAGCTCCCAGAATGCCAGAAGCCAAACATATGTTGTTGGGCTTCTACTCTAGCCAGCTTGGGCCTCTTACACCTCAGAAAGAAAATTGGGGGGGTTCTTCTCTGAAGAAAATAAAAGATGCCAGAAGACAGACTTCAAGATATTATCTGGGAATAGTCATTAGCTGAAGAAACTACCATTAGTGCCTCATCACTAAACAAGAGTAAGTTGCCAAAGTCCACCATTCACGTATGCAATTAAGAGTTATTGTCAGGCACTTTCCCCTTTACAGTGGATACACACTGAGCAAAACAAACAAGAATCCCTGCACTCAAAGAGCTTACCTTCAAGAAAGGGGAAACAACAGACAAACACGGGAAAGGCGTATGGAGTAGACAGATGGAGACAATGCTGTGGGGAAACAAGCTGAGAAGGGTAACAGGGAAGCGAGGGACGGGAGAAGGGATGGACACAGTCCTGAAGGAAAGGAGGGAGACACTCACGAAAATACCCTCCAATTTCACAGGCCTTGAGGGCAGAATTGCTTGTTATGTTTGGGGATCAATGAAAAGACCAGGCCAGTATGGCTTGAACAGATGGAGTAGGGGAGAGCACAGGATGGGTCACCCAGGGTCTTGCAGGCCACTGCAGGACTTCTCCTTTATGCCACTGGAGAGCTTTGAGCAGAGGAGTGACATGATCTGACCTGCATTTATAAGCATCACTCTGGCAAAGGCTGGGAGACTTACTGGTTCCAAGAATTTAAGGAAATCTCTGTTCAACCATCGGCTGACAATGAAGCAAACCAAGCAGGGACTTCAGGGCCACACATAACAAAGAATCAGATTTTAAAGAATTAGTCCAGGAGAGTCACTAAACAAACGAACAACAAAACCTGAGGGTAGGAGTGCAGGAGGGACTGAGTTCCACAATTTCCAAATTATGACATTTAAAACATCCAGTTTTCAACAAAAAGTTACAAGACATGCAAAGAAACAAGAAAAGCAGGGACCATACACAGGGAGAAAAAGGAGTCAGTAGAACCCATCCTTAAGAGAAAGGTTCTTAAGTAACTCTAAACTTATTAGATAAAGACTAGATAATGACATTCACCTACTGATGAACAGATGAACAAGATGTGATATATCCATACAATGGAATATCACTCAGCAACAAAAAGGAGTAAAGTACTAATACATAATACAATAGGGATGCACCTTGGACACTTCGTGAAAAACAGACCACATATGGTATGACTCTCTTTATATGAAATGTCCAGAAAAGGCAAAGCTATAGAGACAGAAAGTGGATCAGGGGTTGCCTGGGACTGGGGGGAAGAGAGGAGAAAGGAGAATAATTGCTATGGGGCTTCCTGTTAGTGTGATGAAATAAATATCTTGGAATTAGATACTGGTGATCATTGTATAACTCTGAATATACTAAAATCCACTGGAATACACACTTTAAAAAGATAAACTTCATGGTATGTGAACTATATCTTAATAAAGGTGTTATTTTTAAAAAACCTAATTAAGGATCACACATAGCATTAGATTATTATGTCTCTTGAGTTTCCTTTAATCTAGAAGAGTCCCTGCCACCTTTATGCCTTTCAGGATGTGGACGTTTTCTAAGAGCTCAGGCTGCAGATTTGTAGAGGTTCCTCCCACCGTCTTCCTCTGCTGACTGTTCCTCATGATGAGAACCAGTCAAATGTCTCTAGAACCTCTAGAATCTTGATGCTGTGCCACGAGAACACAAGACTATTTCTACATTAAGGGCTTAGCTTTGCAATGATTAGTATTTGTGAAGTCGTGTGTTTAT